TTTACACTGAGTAACAGTGGGCCCAGTGGTAATAACCCCAAAGCTGGATAGACCGCCCTCAGCGAGAATGGGAAAGTTTTAGATGTAATAAATCTGATAGAGATCTGAGCCTTCAGCATATTCTCAGTACATTACATTAACATTACAGCTGCACATTACAGCTGTGAGACTTTAAACTACACTTAAACATTATCAGAGGCTTAAAGTGCATTCCAGTATCTGCAGCTTCAACTATGTGAAAGAGATTTAGCAGTAGATTAGGACCAAATACATGCGGGTGTCAGTGATAATATGATGCACAGTCTGTGCTGCTGTGGCTGTTTGAATATATAAATCACATTCCTTCAACAGCGAAGCTACATCAGGATGTATCAGGAAGTCAAAGAACTAGTGAAACTCCTCTCTGGTCACATTATAATCAAGGGATCTATTTGCTCTTATATCAGTTATTGCAGAATGTTTTAGATGCTACGTCAGGTGCCGTTCACAGCGTGCAGCTTTGATTTCGTTCAAAATCATGTTTTTCAGTTGCTGATGACTCTCTGCTTTGTGTCCAGAGCCTGATGATGTCAGGTTGGTGGGAGGAGCTAGTCACTGTGCAGGTACACTGGAGGAGAAACATCTGGGAGAGTGGAGACGGGTGTCTGTGTTTGACAGGATCCTGGACGAAACAGCAGATGAAGTCTGTGAACATCTGCACTGTGGCCCGTTTGATTATGGAGGACTCATAAAGTCCTCACAAACATCTGTGTGGCAAATCAGACCCGTTCAGGCTGGATCTGCTCTGATGGAGTGCTCAACATCAGAAAAGACTTTGTTCATCCTGAATCTCACCTGCTCAGGTAAGCTGATCACTGATTTCCTCTATGACAGTCATGTTTTCTGTCACTGAAACAGTCGGTGATCTCGTGTGGGTTGAACTACAAAGTTCATGGATTTTTTTTTTATAAAGAGTGACCTAATGTGTCAAAATGTAATACAAAAAGGAAACAGTCAAAGATTTCTTAATTTTACTGGAAGTAAAAAGACTGATTCTAACAAACTGTATTTTTCCATCAGTAACTATGACAACAAGTGGACTTTTAATCTGAGACACTGAGTGGATTAGTGATCTTGTTTTACCCTACAAGAAAAAAAGAAGAACACAAAGTTTGGCTTTGATAACTTGTGAATGAATCTGAACTTGTTCAAAGCAGAAAGCTGAGAATCTGGACCCAGCTGGGTTCAGTCCACTAGTTCACGGTTTAAGTTTTTAAACCTTGGCAGGTGTGGTTGGATTATGTGTTTTACAGTTTATGGTCTTTTTTGGGTCCGGTTCCTTAGGAAGCAAAAAAAAATGCTTTATTGTTTCCAGACGAAAACAGAAATTTCCAAACACGAAGAAGCGTCTTCTTTCTGCTGTGATGTATATCCCACAGTAATCTGTTCTCACTTATTAAATTATTATTTTATGTAGACATAAGCACATTTATACAGTGGTATATTTCTTTCTTTAATTTTTCATTCATTTAAACTGCATAACACTTTTCCTATCAGGGGTCAATAAAATGTTTCTGGTTCAGTGTAATGAGCTGGCATAACTGGGACTGAATGAAACCATCTGTTAAATGAGACTGGACTCATGAAACTGAGATGACTGTTTTCTGTCAGTTCCAACAGATCCTGCAGCTTCTACCGTCACTGTGGTCGTCCTGCTGGTGATTGTGCTGTTTATGATCACTGCTCTATATTTCTGCTGTAAGGTACTGAAAAGATCTGAAGCCTGTTTCTTGCATTGAAGACATGATCAATGCATTCAGTCTGACCTGTGCTGTCATGTCTATCCAGGCCAGCAGGGGGCAGAAGCCAAGTGCACCTGACAGCACTGAGCTGGTTTACTATAACTTCAGTGTTTGTTTAGCTGAAGGAGGGCCGACTGAAGAGGAAGGAGCTCAGAGAGCAGAGGAGGATCTCCATTGAGATCATCTCACATCCAGATGAATTTCTTAGCTGACACACAGCCGTCCATCCTGTTGAATAACACAGCTGTTTTCTATTGGACACAAATCTGATCTTAAACTACACTGGAAAGTCTACGAGAAGCTAACTTGATTGGATTGGACTGGACTGATTATTGTCTATTTACATATCAATATATGGTGTAAGCCTTGAGGCCAGACTTAGTAAAGTAGAAATCTGTTCTGATATCTTGATAAGATCAGTTTACAGATTAGGATGCAGAGAAGGAAAGCTGGAAAACCAGCAAAGTGGTAAGCTTGGATGAGGTAGAGGAGGTCTCTCCTCTCTGTCTGAGGACAAAGCGGAACCAAATCCGTAAAACTTGGGAGAATAAGGAGCTTGACAAAAGAAAAAGATAGGAAGTGAAGGAAAGAAGGAGGGTTAGAAAGTACCCGTCCTCACTCAAGAGTTGGTTGATGGGTTCTTTGTTCTCTTAGAGTTTTGGAAGAAAACAGAAAATAAATATGAAAACAAGGAAAAACCTATATATGTTTTTTACTTTCGTCCTTTCCAGTTCCTGCTGCAGGGTGAATTAATAAGATTTGCAAACAGTGTAAATACGATAATAACATAAATCTGAGAAATTCAAAGGGGCAGTATTCCTGGAACTTAACAAGTGATTAAGTAATGTAAACCATCTTATCAGAAACATCCCCAGAGCTGACTCTCAGGAAAAATAACTGTTGAGATAATATTTTCTGAAGCATTAATGTGTTGTCAGGTTTAAATCACTCGTGTCATGACATGAATAAAGGTTATATGTGACTGAAACCGTAGAGTTTGAATAAAATCATCACTGAACTGTGTGAAAAAGGGACAGAAAAGGATGTAAATGTTTTATTTTCTACACCTTTAACTTGTAAAAGGGGAAGGAAAGGAAACAGAAGGTGATAAGAGGACAGAGATAATGTAGGATGTAAAAGCAGGAAGTTAAACTGAATGTTTA